AAAAAAGAATCTCCTAAGCCCCAAGAGCTGGAGGTTGCTGTGAGCTGTGACGTGAGGGCACTCTGCCAAGGGCGACAAAATGAGACTCTGTCTCTAAAAAAAATAAAAATAGAAATAAAAGTAAAAAAAATAATAAAGCTTTTGTGCAAAAATTTTCTTAATGTACTATGCAGTGATAACTTCATCAAATGTGAGTTTGGGGTGGCAATTGCATTGTCTTCAATTAATTTTACAAGTCTCTCTCTCTTACCTACCATTGCCAGGGTGTACCATTGGTAAATATACCAGATTTGTTGGCAGAGGACAAAGAAAATTGCTTTAACATATTTTTTACTGCTTTGTATAAATCTCTTGATTTAACTGTGTCTTTTAATGGCACTAAAGCCATTTCTTCAGTGACACGATAATTCATCATCAGCACCGCTAATAAAAATGGCAAGTTGAGCTGTATTTGTAGCATCAGTGCTGTCATCCATCACCAATTAAAATTGGCAGCTTTATTCTCCTGACTTCTTCGGATAGATTTTTCAGTATCTTCAGTGCACCTGGCTATAGTCTAATGAGACAGCCTATCCACCAAAAGGTGGGATAAGATGCAGTGGCTCATTCCTATAATCCTAGCACTCTTCGGAGGCTGAGGCCAGTGGATTTCTTGAGTTCATGAGTTCAGGACTAGCTTGAGCAAGAGCTAGGCACTGTCTCTCTCTCTCTCTCTCTTTTTTTTTTTAAAGACAGAGTCTCACTTTATTGTCCTCAGTAGAGTGCTGTGGCATCACAGCTCACAGCAACCTACAACTCCTGGGCTTAGGTGATTCTCTTGCCTCAGACTCCCGAGTAGCTGGGACGACAGGTGCCCGCCACAACACGCAGCCATTTTTTTGTTGCAGTTTAGCCAAGGCTGGGTTTGAACCCACCACTCTTGGTATTTGGGGCTGGTGCCCTATCCACTGAGCAACAGGTGACCCCAGCCCTGTCTCTAAAAACAGCTGGTGGGTGCCTATTTTCTCAGCTCCTCAGGTAAGCTAAGGCAAGAGAATCACTTAAGCCCGAGAGTTTGAGTTTGCTGTGAGCTTGACACCATAGCACTCTACTGAGGGTAACCAATTGAAACTGTCTCAACAAAAAAAAAAGAAGAAAGAAATATCCCTCCTTTTTTTTTTTTTCAGGGCAAATTATTTCTGCCATTGCTTTCTATACATTGCTTGATAAATTCACCATCAATATATGGTTTTGCTTTTTTTTTTGCCATTAAATATGCTGCCATTTAACTAGGTTTTACAATGGAATCCTTATGAGTCATAACTTTTTTAAAAAATTTTTTGTTGGGAAGACAAATTTTTTTTATTCACTTCCACTATTTTGTCTTAGGACATAATCTTTTGTGTGCATTGAATTTGGCAGCATATTTTTGTATATAATGCCTTCGAATTACAGTCTTTGAAAACTTGAACAAATTCCCTACAAATTAAGCAGAGTGCCTTGACAAAGTAGTCATCTGTGCACTTTTTTTTTTTTTTTT